TGCCATAAGCTAGAGACCATTCCTAAAGCTGCTTCTTATATACGGGAAGGAGACCACATCCCGAAAGCAGCTACTCAGCTGCTTGTGGTAGATCACACCATGGAATTGATTGCCAGTCTCATCACAGGGATTCGAATAACTACCACCAGCTGCCCAGCCACTCAACCAGGCCCAGCCAAGTTGACACACAACCTTAACTACTACAATCATATACTACCTCTTGAAATGGTTGAATGTCAACCAATTCTTTTTGGTACAGTGACTCTGTATTCCTTCCATGTTCTTTTGATGCTTCATGTATCTAGATCGATTGATCAATCAATAGATAGGTATAGATTTATAGTTCTTTTTGATAAGACTTTTTTCAGGAACACCTCTGCAGAATTATTACACAGATGTTTCAGAGTTGATGAGTTTAGATTTGGCTCTGATTTGTGCCACGAATTCAATAAAAAGGTGGAGGTATATATTTCAGTGTCAGTGAGAAAAATTTGGGTAGTTATGATCTATTCCTGAACATGAAGAATATTTGACACTTTCTGGAATCCATAAAAATGGAATACATTGTTCCTTTTCCTTCTAAAAAGAAAAAAAACTCACTGCCATTGAGTCAGTTCCGACTCAGAGCAACCCCCTCCTTGGGTTGCCCAGGTGGTATCTCTACAGAAGTAAATTGCCCAATCTTCCTTCTGAGGGGGAGCTTTGGTGGCATAGTGCCTAAGGCATTTGACTGCTAACCAGAAGGCTGGCATTTCAAACCTAAGGCAGTATCACTACGGAAGTAAATCGCCCACTCTTCCTTCTGAGGAGTGGCTGGTGGTTTGAACCGCCAGCCTTTTGATTAGCAGTCAAAATGCCTTAGGCACTATGCCACCAGAGCTTATTTACCATAACTAAAAATAGCTTTTTGATTTTTCATTAGCCATTTTCTACTGCTTCACTACCATCCTGTTAGCTTCTTTTTGACAAACTGATACCACCTAACATTTTCTAAGACTCTCTGGACTATTGTAGGGGGGACTCCTTTATTCTACATTGGGAGATAATGAGGACTTAGACTTTAGGCAACCAGATTTGCTTTCCCCTTTGAGAAGAGGTGGCTAGTGGTGGAGCCCACTGCTTTCTGTAGATGTAAGCCTCGGCGTCTGTGCTCCTTCTCATCAGGACAGCTCATTACTGAGTGGGGCCAGAGTGTTTTGTATGGTTTATGACTTTAGTCCTCACCACAGCCTCCGACACACACACTGACATTTCTAGTATTTTACAGCTGAGAAAACTGAAGTTTGGAGGAGGCAATAGGTAAGTTGCCCAGGGTTCTTTGTTGAATCAGAGGTCAAGCTCAGCATAAGATAGGTCTACTGGCTCCATAGCTCACCCTCTTAACTACAACCTAGGTTCCCCACAGTGAGTCATCAAGCTGATCTGGCATATGAAGAATCAAGCCTGAGTGTATTCTGACTGCAGGCGTCATCCCTGCCCTGGGAACCTCATTTACAGCTTGACTCTTAGTAACCCTCTGGTCCCTCACCAGAGTCCTAGCATCTCAACATGGAAACACCAGAGAACCTTATTCCACAACTCATCTGGCCCAGGAATCCAGCTCTCTAGCTGTGGGAAGACCTGTCCAAACAAGTCTCTTCTAAGCATTTTCGCTTTTTAAATGTTCAGATACTTCTTTTGCTATGTGTGGCTTCCTCTCTTGTGAGTTTGTTTTCTTTACAGTCCCTCTGTCTTGGTTTATCTGTCTCATTTGAGAGTGAGAAATCTTATTTTAATGTGAAAAATTGATCATGCTGAATAGCCAGCAAGTGTGAAGTTCAAAGAGCTCAAATTAAAAGAGAAACTGTGATTAAAAGACAATATTGGTGCTTGAGACCAGGCTTATGGGTCTGATAGAGACTGCTGAAACCCCTGAGACTATGGCCCTAGTTACCCTTCAGATCTGGAATTGAACTCACTCCCAAGGCTTCTAGCCAAACAATAGACAGGTGTATAAGGTGACCATTTATACAGGTAGGTACACTCCTTGAAACAATGAACCATGGGAGATCAGAAGGGCAGTATTTGCACAGGGAGTTAGCTCAGAGGGCAGGAATGCATAGAAAAGGAGGACACAGGGAAAAGGTAACCACAGAGAGGAACTGCAGAGAGAGCTGTTATATTATGGGGATTGTAGTCAACGTCACAAAATAAAATGTGTATGAACTGCTGTATGGAAAATGAATTTGTTTTATAAACTTTCACCCAAATCACAATTTAAAAAAGAGACAATGTTGGTGCTGGAGGGAGCCCATTAAATGGCACAGTCCTTCCTTGCCTTACTGTTGAAGCAACTGAGGATTGAAAGGAAGGAGTAAGACAAATGGAGACTACAGTCCTCACCTGTGTTACTGATGAAGCTGATCCTGGAGCGTGGGGAACACGTGTGCAACAAATGGGCCTGCGAACGCTGATCTTCAGCATCAGGCTGGGGCTCTCCTGGAGCCCCCAGCTCTCAGGCAGCGCTGGCCTAGGACCAGACCCCTTCTCCAGGGTCAGAGCTCGCCTGTGGGAAGCTTAGCACCAGAGGGAAGGTCTGGGCAGCCTCAGCCTAGACGGTGCTTCCAAATTCCCCTGAGACGAGCCACAGTAGCACCACAGTATTGAAGTAAGGGAGAGGTCTGAGTGAAACCAGGAGTGTCACCCTAGCTGGAGGAGAGCTCAGGAAAAGGAAAGAAGGAGTCTATTAACTAGGAAGGAGAGTCAAGGCCTCAGTTGTCCCTCTTTGGGCATTAGCTTGACTTTCAGTGTATGAACATGACAGCAGATATGTGAATTAACTGACGTTTGTTCTGTTTACTTTTTTAGATTCTTTGCTATCAGAAGACCTCCTTCTTTGGCGGGAACTGTATATCCATGATTGATTACCTCCTTTGGCCCTGGTTTGAGCGGCTGGATGTATATGGGGTAGCAGAGTAAGACATTTGGCCATGGGGTGGTGAATTCCTGGAGTCACACTGGGTAACGATGGTTGAAATAAACTGTATTATTTATGCCCCCTTTGGATATGTTTAAGGAGCTCTGGTGGTGTAGTGCCTAAGGCATTGGACTGCTAACCAGAAAGTTGGCTGTTCAAACCCACCAGCCACTCCACAGAAGGAAGACTGGGCAATCTACTTCTGTAGAGATACCGCCTCGGAAACCCAAGGAGGGGTCACTATGAGTTGGAACCGACTCGACGGCAGTGAGTTTGGTTTTTGGTTTTTTGAATATGTTTTAAGGAGCCTTGGTGGCACAGTGGTTGAGCGCTCGACTGATAACTGAAAGGTTAGCAGTTCAAACTGACCAGCTGCTCATGGGAGAAAGATGTGGCGGTCTGCTTCCTTAATAAACTCTACAGCCTTAGAAGCCCCGTGGGGCAGTTCTACTCTGTCCTGTAGGGTTGCTGTGAGTCAGAATGGACTCTGTGGCAATGAGTCTGGGTTGGATTTTTGGCTATGTTTTGGTGTGTGGATGAAGTGAAGCCAGGTTTCTAATCCAGCACCACGGGTTTCCTGCTTAGAAATGCACCTGTGTTTTTATACCACTAACTGGGCCCAAACTTGACTCAGATTTCTACTGTTAAGACCCTGGGTCCAAAAGCCCACTGCAGTGCTGACTGTCCTCAGCAGCCCATGCAAACATAGGCTGGTCGTGAAAGCAAACAGAGTGGAGTCACAGGCACCGTGTTTTGGTAACTTGTCTGCAGCTCCCTCTGTGGTCCCTGACCTGGTCCTGCTGAGTCACCCAGTGGACACAAATACCTTAGTGACATCTCATTCCCCTGAGGAATTCCCCCTCAATAGAAGTGTCCTTAAAATAGATTTATGAAGTAATATATGCCAATGTTAAAACAAATAAAATAAAAATAAAATCACCAAGCACCACAGCAGCATAGGGTGATTACCAGTGAAGCCAGTTGTCATGGAGTCAGTTCCGACTCCGTGGCCCCATGTGGGTCGGAGTAGAATTGCATTCCGCAGGGTCTTCAGTGGCTGGTTTTTCAGAGGTAGCTTCCCAGGACTTTCTTCCCTGTGGGTGGGCTCGAACCTCCAACCTTTTTGTTAGCAGCCAAGCACATTAACCATTTAGAAGAAATAGTCTGGGGGCAAAGTTGGGTTTGTTTCAGCACCTGCTCTAATCCCAGCCAGCAGCACAGTGGGTGCCAGGTAGTTCTGATGCTTGGGAATCCGGTCCTACTAAGGCGTCTGGACCCACATAATAATGTGTGGGTTTGAGTCTACCCAAGAGTTGTCTCGTCTGCTTCCAGTGCCTAAGGCACTTGACTGCTAACCAGAAGGCTGGCGGTTCAAACCCACCAGCCACTCCTCGGAAGGAAGGTTGGGCAATCTACTTCCATAGTGATACTGCCTCGGAAACCCAAGGAGGGGTCACTATGGGTCGGGTCCTACTTGATGGCAAATAACAACAACAACAACGAGGGAAGATCAGATATGGCCTATTTGGTAATTTAAAACCTACACTCAGACATCAATATTACAAAAACTTGTTGCCGCCAAGGACAGAATTAGACCACAGCTCAGAAAACTTCACCTCTGGCCCTGGATTTCTCACTAACCAGTTGTATTATCTTAAGCAAATCCCTTTATAGACCCTAGACCTAAATTTCCTCATATGTTTTTGAAAGGGCCCTTCCATCTCCGTTATTTCAAGGATTGGTGATTGTTTTATTCATTTTTAACAAATATTTTTGCAACTACTTGTCTGTTTTTTTTCAAATCCCCTAAAGCAAAAACTGAGAATGACAGAAGAGCAGTTGTTTCTGAGGCTAGTCTTAGTGATGTTAAGCGGTGGGCACAGAGAGTATTTCCCAGTGCCTTCTGGTCAGGAGTATTTTAACTGTGTTGTTCAGCAGCACAGCAACTCCTACAACTTAAAAACACATACAGCTATTCGGAAAAAATAAGATTTTCCTCCAGGAAATGATTATGCTTACTTGATAATTACCAAAAACAAACCCATGACCTTTGAGTAGAGTCAGACTCATGACAGCCCCACACTTTACAGAGTAGAGCTGCTCCATAGGGTTTTTTCTTGGCTCTAATCTGATTCTAGGTTCACTTATTTATCTGCTCATCAAGTGAGCCTGCATTAGTTTCCTGGGGCTGCTGTAACAAAATACCACAAACTGGGAGACTGAAAGCAACAGAACATATTCTTTCACAATTCTGGAGGCTAGAAGTCTGAAATCAAGATGCTGGCGGGGCCATGCCCCACCGAAGGCTCTAGGGAAGATTCCTTCCTTGCCTCTTCCTACCCTCTGGTGGCTCCCAGCAAGCCTTGGTCTTCCTTGGTGGCTAGTGCTGCTGTAACAGAAATACTGGAAGTGGGTGGCTTTAACAAACAAATTTATTCTCTCACAATTTAGGAGGCTAGAAGTCTGAATGGGAGCTCTGGTAGCATAGTGGTTAAGGCACTTGACTGCTAACCAGAAGGCTGGTGGTTCAAACCCACCAGCCAATCCCCGGAAGGAAGATGGGGCAATCTACTTCCGTAGTGATACTGCCTCGGAAACCCAAGGAGGGGTCGCTATGGGTCGGGTCTGACTCAACGGCACACAACAACAACAACAACAACAGAAGTCTGAATGCAGGGAATTAGCTGCAGGGGAAGGGTCTCTCTCTCTCTGGGCTCAGTTTAGGAAGAAAGTCCTTGTCGCCTTCCAGCTTCTGTGGGTCTGGTGTTCCCTGGACATCTCCATGTGTCTTGTCGTCAATCTTCCCGTGGGTGTAGGAGGTTTCCAGTGCAGAGACCCTGGGTCCAAAGGATGCTGGCTGGCTCTTCTTTTTTGGTGGCAGTTGCTCCTCTCTCTCTGCTCACGTCTCTCTCCATTTATCTTTTATCCTTTTATCTAATGCAGGCTGTACCCTGGGAAAACTCCCCTTACAACAAATCAGGGCTATGACCTGATTCAGGGTGTTTTGTCCTACCTTAATCCCCATACATCAGATCAGGGCTGATCATACATCAGATCAGGGCTGATCACATAAGATTACATCATGCGGAATGATTACATCCTTACATAATCGCCACATTACATCAATACAGAACTGCCAAACCACTGGGAATCATGACTTAGCCAAATTGACATATTTTGGGGGACACAGTTCAATCCATGACACTTTGCTTATAGCTGCATTACGCCAGTCTCCACCTCCATCACATGCCACCTTCCCTATGAGTCTTCACATGGTCCACACCAGTCATTGCATTTAGGACTCACCCTAATCCACTATGACTCAACTAATTATATCAGCAAAGACCCTATTTCCCAAAATTGTCACATTCCGAGGTTCTAGGAGGACATGAATTCCAGAGGGACACTATCCAACCAGTACAGAGCATAATCATTTACTCTGTATTCCTCCGGTAAATCCATTTTTAGTATCTTGTAAATCTAGTAAGTGATACTTGTAACCCTTCTGAGGCCTCCCACTCCAGATACGCTAACACTTCTTTCCTGTCCTGCAGCTGTGTGGACCACACCCCGACACTTAAGATCTGGATGGCAACCATGAAGCAGGACCCTGCAGTAAGTGCTCTTCTCATCGACAAGAGCACTTTCTTGGGCTTCTTGAATCTCTATTTTCAGAACAACCCTGATGCCTTTGATTATGGGCTAACATGTTGAATCTTATAGTGCACCCCTTCACCATCCAAAATTCCCAGGCATGTTGTGATTCTGTGTCGGGGATTATCTTAGGCGTCAATCAGTCTCTGTGCATTTTCTCTGAAGTTCCCAATAAAAATGAAAGCAGGAAATGTATTCTTTCTGATAATCGTTTGTCTGACTCCTCTAGCCCACAGCTTCTAACTAAAGGTCCTTTAGAAAGTGCCCAGTGCCAAGCTGAGAACATTTTGAGACCCTTATGCCTCCTCTACTTTTCGGCCTTCATCCTAGTTTGCCCTGCCGATTATTGGTGCTGGGGCTGAGGTTCAGGGCCTGCCTATTTTTAATGTTTGGCACTATGACTGGTACCCTACAAAGACCTCCCTTGTGAAATGAAATGGAGAAGGATGAAGAAAATATACTAATCCCATATGCTCTCCATTTGGCCGATGAAAGCTGCTGTCCATGTGGGTGTATGTGATTCTCATCCCCATTCAGACTTTGGTCTTGTGACTGGAAAGAATTCCAAAGCAGGAAATGAAACACCACTTTATCACCCTGGACCAAATACGTCAGAATTTGACTGGTGCTGTCAGAACTCAGGATGTCTCACTAAATGTTCTGTAGCCAACATCCTGCCTTAAAAAAGTACACGACCCCAACCCAGTCATGGACAAAGGTCACTGTCAGATTTGCGTCACACACCGTTGACTATTTCAGTTTGTCCCAACAAATGCCTTTGGTTGCTCTGCTGTGTAGCGCCCCTGGGCCCACTGAGGGGGACAGATGAAAAGGACACAGGCTCTGCCCTACAGGTGCCCTGATCTCTCCACCATCTGGTGGGCTGCTGATAGTGGGAATCTAGTCTCCACCCGGAAACGGCCCCTCTGCTGGCTGGGCCAGGCAGTACTGCACCACTGAGGACCACAAAGAGCTGAGAAGGATGAGAAGGATGAGGAGTGGGGTGGCACATGCTTTAGGCTGGGAGTTCCTATCCCTTACCCCATAGGAGTGGGACTGAGTCTATTCAATGCCATATTATTTCAGAATCTAGATAATCATCAACCCATGACCACTTCAGCTTTGTTCAATGTGTACTCTTCCCAGACCTCTTCTGAGACCAGGCGGGAGTGATGTTTTCAGCTGTCCATTCTCACTGCCCACACTCTGACTCAGCCCAAACAAGCCCTTCTTCCCTCCTCCCCCTCCCTCCATCTCAGCCCCGCCCCGCCATCAGCTGGCTCTGGGTATATTTTGACCCATGTAAACAGTTACCAGGTATTACTTCCTGCCAGGTGGACAGAAGCAAGCCTGCTTGGTGAGGTGGCCTGGTCCACCAGAACAGGCGCCACGTGCCAGGGGCGCTCTGCTAAGCCATCTGCTCAGGAAGTGGCACCCTGTTGCCATAGCACTGGGGGAATGCAGAGTGAGGAATGTGAATCATGGTTTCCCGGGGGATCTTTGTTAAGGAATAAGAGAAGTGTCTCTGTGGCCTCTAGTAGGGTTCAAGGACTAATGAGATTTTGCAGGTATAAATCCTGTGTACTAGACAGTGTTTGGCGTGGAACTAATGTTGCTGCTGACACAACTTATGACAGCATACGTCTGAGTGACCAAAACCATAGATATTCTTGTTGAGGTTCCACATACTTACTGGTGTACAAAGTGTGTGGGACCAGAAGATGAAGGAGAAAAGCAGTGGTAGGGAAAAGTGGTAGATTGGTGGCCCCCAGCCTACTTCGGGATTAGAGTGCCTTTTCGCTCTGCAATTTGCGAGGACCACCACTACCTGCATGCACTACCTTAGACTTTTTTCTCATTCATTTGCCATGTGCATGACCTTTAAGGAGACCCGAGTTCTCTCAGAGAGACCTGAGTTCTCAACCTTTGGGTGAAATTAGAAGGATTTAGCCTGGAGGAAAGAGGAAACAAGGCAATGCAAACAGTGCTGCAGGAAGAGCTTGTAAAATACCTCTCCTTTTATTAGGGTGAGGGAGGGCAGAAATAATTCATACAGATTAAAAAACCCAATAATGCAAAAAAAAAAAAGTCTTCCATTATTTTCATGCCCCAGAGAGAACCACTTCTAACAATTAGTGTCTATTTTAAAAAGCTTTTTAAAGTTACTGATTTCAGGTGGAAGCTGTTCTCTATCTCCTGCAGATTGGAAAAAGGAAATTAGCTCAAACCACAGCATTCAAAAGAATCTCCTTGTCCTAGATGTGTCTGCCATTAGCATCGGCAACCAGGGGAAGTTGTATGGATTTCCCTTCCTTGGAGGCTTGGAACCAGAACCCATCCTGGACTAAGTCCAGTTACATTCTAACAGGGTGGTGGTGGCTGCAGGGACAACTGACAGTGCTGGTGGGCGATGGTGAGTGAATGCTATTTGAAATTCTTTGCCTCTTTGATTCTGTGATCTCAGCTCTGGTGGTGGTGGTGGTCAGGGTGGAGTCTCTCCCTTGATTCTCACCTTCATGTCTCCCCTGGCTCACGTTTCCTTGTCAAAGTTATTGGCTTTCTTGATGGAGGGAGGACAGTGCTGTGTTGAGAGCCAAGCTTGGCTCCCTGTACTGTATTTATGTCAGTCTGGTTCCTTGTTATCTGAAGACTTCACAAACGGCCAAATACCCGACCGGGGAGAGTTTGCATCAATGAGCCTCCACCTACACTGAACACTGTGCCCACCCTGGAGACGCACTCCCATTCATCTACATCTGTGAGTTCCCAGAGGGCCAGCCATTTGGTCTTTTCAGAACATGCTCACATCTGGCTTGTTCTAGTTCCTGTGCCTTTGTGAATGCTGTTTCTTCCCCTCTCTAATCTTCCTAAGAGCATCCTCCAATTTTTTTCTCACACAGTTCAGATTACAATTTTTCTAGTACAAACAGAGACAATGTAACACAGTGTTTAAGACCAGGGCTTCTCTGGTTGGACAAACCAGGCTCAAATCCTGGCTCTGCCAGTCATTAAATTCCTTGGCAATTTGCTTAACCTCTCTGAGCCTCAGTTTCTTCTCTGTAAAATGGGACCACGAAGAACCTATTTCATAGGGCTGTTGGAGCACAATGAGACAATCCCTAGCCCCGTGCTGGGTGATGCCCAGGGAATGGCAGGCAGCCGTACTATCATGATGAAGCTGTTGCCTATGATCTCATTCTGTGTTCATTCTCCCATCACTTTGTGGAAATAGATGTGACCTTGCATGCGGCTTGATTCATGATCTTGGAGTTGTTTTCTGGTTGTTTCATGTGTACAGATGTAGTCTCAAATGACTTGTGAGCTCTTCGAGACTGGAACTCTTGACCTTCGTCCTTCCCAATTCCTCACACCCCAGGGCCTAGTTTAATACTGTGAATCATGAAATCCTGTAATGTTGATGATAAAATAAATTCTCTTCTTGCATTACCGCAGAGTCTACAGAATCTCACTTCTCTGCTCTCCCGGAGCCGGTTATTTCCCTGTAAGGGTTAATACGTGAGAGAGATGAAATGCCCACAGGCCTGACCCCATTAAGGGCCGTTGGACCACAAAAGCTCCCCGGGACATGGATGGTACTGGCTCATGGAAAGGTGATTATACACAGGTTCCACAGACAAGAGCCATGGGGTGCTCTGCCCTGTCATTTCCTCCAAGGACCCACCATGAGCACAAATCCCCTCAGGGGGCAAAGGTCCCCAGCTCACTTTGTCATCGGTAGATGGCCTCCCTCCAGACGCCATGGCTGATGGCAACCCAGCTCCCTGGGTTAGGGAGGCAAGAGGCATTTCAGGCCTATCCTGGGCCAAGGAGGACCCAAAGACTGGACTGCCCACCAAGGGACCCCGAGCAGCAGGAGCAGCCTCTGTCCCCGCTTCTGGGGAGAGGCAGGACCAGGCAGGGGCCTGGGAAGCGAGGAGGAGGGGTGTCTGTTAGCAGGAGCAACAAACGGTCTTTGCTAAACCCAGGTTTATGTTTCCAAAGCTGTGGACCACATGGGTTATGCTCAGGGGTTTAGAAAATCTCTCAAAGGCTTTGTGTGTGTGCACGTGCGCACACGTCTCTGTGTGTTTCTGCTTACTCTATCCCAGCCCCTTACGTAGGAGCCCTGGTGGCACAGTGGTTGAGCATTTGACTGATAACTGAAAGGTGAACGGTTTGAACCCACCAGCTGCTCTGTGGGGTAAAGATGTGGCAGTCTGCTTCCATAAAGATTTCCAGCCTTGGAAACCCTATGGCATTGTTCTACTGTCCTATAGGGTCATTAAGAGTTGGAATCATCTTGACGACAGTGGGTTTGGGTTTGGTTATATGTTATTTATACCTCATAGTCTTAGGAGGGGGAGCTCTGGTAGCATAGTGGCTACGGCACTTGACTGCTAACCAGAAGGCTGGCGGTTCAAATCCACCAGCCACTCCTCGGAAGGAAGATGGGGCAATCTACTTCCGTAGTGATACTGCCTCGGAAACCCAAGGAGAGGTCGCTATGAGTCGGGTCCGACTCGACAGCAAACAACAACAACAACAAGTCTTAGGAGTAAGCACTAACTACTCCCATGTAACAGATAGGTAAACAGAGGTGTGGAGGTAAAGTAAGTTGCCCTACAGGCAATAATGGATACGTTGTTGTTGTTATGTGCCGTCGAGTCGGGCCCAACTCATAGTGACCCCTACTTGGGTTTCCGAGGTGGTATCACTACAGAAGTAGATTGCCCAGCCTTCCGAGGAGTGGCTGGTGGGTTTGAACCGCCAGCCTTCTGGTTAGCAGTCAAGTGCCTTAGACACTACGCTACCAGAACTCCTAATAATGGATATAGCTGGGCATAATGCAGGTGGCTGACTCCTGCCATGCCCTAACCGCTGCACTCCTCTGCCTCCTCGCTGCCAGCACTGCCTTGCCCTCTGCCCTTACCCTGCCTTCCTCTTATGCTTACCGCTCTAGAGTGGGAGCTCTCTCTTGCCATGAATAGTGTCTCACCTGACTTTGCACCTGGCACAGTGCCTGATACAGTGATAGAGAGGTTTGTGACTGAGCAAATACA